TTTACTTAGTACATTTTTGAGATATAGCAACACCGGTGATGATCACCAGTGGTGGTAAATAGCAAAATTCAAAAAAATTAAGTAAAAACAAAAAAAAAAAATAAAAAATAAAAAAAAAACTATATAATCTATATACAGAATTTGTGAAACAAATTAAATTTTACTGCTGATTGAAAAATCTCAAAGTAAAAAAAAAATAACAAAAGAAACAAAAAAAAAATAAAGATTACTACTAATTGGAAAATTAGTTAAATATTTGAAAAATTTGATTTGTCTTATAAATTATCTAACTATTTAAAGATTCAAAGCTAGAGAATAAGAGTTAGATGAGCTAAGACAGTTTGAAAGGTTTCGATATAAACAAAAAGATTTTGCAGATTGTATAATTGAAGATACAAACAAAGTATTGTGCAATATCTTGCACTATATTTTGTAATAATTTTATATAAATATTTTGTAATTATATATTTCACAATATTGCACAATATTTTGTATAATGTTATGGCTTTTTTATGTTAAATAACAAAATCTTAGTGCTGTAGTGAAACGTTTTAAGTTTCAAAAAGTACTTTAAACTGTTGTATATATTAATATATATGTAAATTTATTACTGCTGGATTTTTAATAAATGTTGTGTGTAAAAAAATTCATATATTATAATACATATACTATAATAATTTCAATTTTAGGATGTGCAGTTCAGGTTATCCTTCGACTAGCGATGGGAATTTCTAATTATTAACAATTGTTAACAAATTGTTAACTATATAAATCATTTAACAATTTATATAGTTAACAATTTGTTAACAATTGTTAATAATTAGAAATTCCCGTCGCTACCTTCGACAATCCAAATATTTGAAATTCAGAGTCCCTATCTGCAAATATAAACCATATTAAAATCTAATTATGCACTTACTAACAATTCTATTCTAATCTAAAAAAAAAATTAAAAATTTCATATTAAGATAGTATCAGTCGTGATATAAGATATAAATCCCATCAGAATCCACCTTGCATCTCACGAATAACAGCTTTTGCTCGATCATCACTCATGATTCCAAAAGAAGATAACCTCATATCAAAAGACGCAGTCCCACCCGTCAACGATCTTAACGAAGAAGAATATCCCAACATTGTAGATAATGGAACGTGTGCATGTATTACTCTCTTTGGGTTAACAACTGTGTCATTATTATTATTAGACGAAAAGGATGTAGAGTCCGATGGAACATATATTTCGATATTATTATCAAAATTATCGAATACATTTCCAGATGTTTCAAGTCCCAAAACATTTCCGCGACGTGTTCCTGTCAAATCTCCAAGGACAACACCTAAATATTCTTCTGGTACATCAATGTTTACATTCATTAAAGGCTCAAGTAATACAAGGTTTCTACCTTTTAATGCATCAGTCAAAGCTTGTGAAGCACATGTGCTAATTGCAGTTTTAGTCGATTCTGCACCAAATAAACGTAATGAATGCACATTTATCGAAAGTTTCGTTATAGGGAAACCAAGTATCGGTCCTCGATATAAACTAGATATTATTCCAGTATAGACAGCATTAGAGATTTCTTCAAAAGATAGATTTATTAATTCATTTGTTTCTTGGCTATTTATAGATTGATCTAATTCATCTGATACAATTGTTTTTTTTGAAAGGTTTAAAGTAATTCTATTTCCACCTTCTTTAAATGATCCTTGATCATTTTCATAAAGTGGAGTAATAGTTAAAGAAATTTGGGCCTTTACCCTTTTTCCCATAACTTCGCGTTCATATAGATATGTATGATCTATTTTATCAGTAATGACAGTTTCCCTATATGATATTCTCATTTTTCCTAATTCTGCTTTAACTTTAAAATCATTTAACAAACGGTCTTTAACAATCTCTAAATGAAGTTCGCCCATACCACTTATCAAAGTTTGCCCGGAATCCTGATCAATATGCACATGAAGAGAAGGATCTTCTCTTAATATATTTTTAAGAGCTTCTTCTAAAGGTTTTTCTTCAGAAATACCAGCAGCCTCTACTACACGAAAAAATACAGGTGCAGGAATATCAATGGTTTGTAATCGAAGACTTTTCCGTGAGTCATTAAATTGAATTAATGTATCTCCTGTTCTTGTTTCCTTAAGACCAATTATTACACCAATATTACCCGCTGTGATTGATGGAATTTCTTCTACATCGTTTGCATACATTTGTAGTAATTTGTTTACGCGTTCCTTATGTTGAGTATTTGTATTATATAAAGTCATATGATTATCTAATTTACCTACAGTAAATAAATGAGTTAATAGATTAAGTAGGTCGAAATTATAAATTCATATTTTCTCACCTGAATATACTCTTACGAAAACCATCGGACCGCGTTTGTTGTCATGTATAACCTTAAACGCAAGTGCACATAATTTTTCGTTCTCTTTCGGTAGAATTTCAACAGATTCATCACCGGATAAACTTGCAATTGGAACAGGACGATCCAACGGGCAAGGAAGATAATCAATTACAGCATCCATTAAAGGCTGTACACCAATGTTACGAAAAGATGCGCCACAAAAAACTGGTACAGCTTTTCCCCTCAACGTCAATCTACGTAATGCCTGCTTTGCATCTTCTACAGAAATTTTCATATGATCTTCTGCAGATAAAAATAAATCTAACATATTATCATCCATTTCTGATAAAGCTTCTATTAAACTTGAACGACCTTTTATTGCTTCATTATATATTCCCATAATGGGATACTTATCAGTTAGTGGCGTTTTATTTATAATAGATCCTTTAGGGTCTTTATTCCAATCCAACACTTGCATATCTAACAGATCAACAATACCACAAAACAAGACATTTCCCCGATTATCTTTTTGCATAACAGGAATCTGACAAACCAAAGGTATTGCTCCCAATTTATACTTCATTTCTTTGACAGTTTTACCAAATCTAGCACCAACTCTATCCATTTTATTAACATAAGCAATCCTAGGAACATTATAACGATTTGCTTGTGCCCAAACAGTTTGAGTTTGTGCTTCAACACCAGAAACAGCATCCAAAATTGTTACAGCACCATCAAGAACGCGTATACTACGTTCCACTTCTACAGTGAAATCTACATGACCTGGAGTATCTATTAAATTTATACGATAATTACGCCATGCGAATGTTATTGTTGCTGAAGTTATAGTAATGCCTCTTTCACGTTCTTGTTTTAAATAATCCATTACAGTAGTTCCATCATCAACATCTTGAAGAAAGTAAAAAAGAATAATTTATAATATTGTTTAAATAATTTTTATAACATTATTTAGATAAAATATACTAAACTGATCTAATACCTCCAATTCTTCTTGTATGCCCAGCATAATATAGCATACGTTCAGTAGTAGTTGTCTTACCTATTAAAATAAATTAGAAAATATTATTAAATGAACCTTAAAAACCATAATCTATATTAATGAAAAAAAATTAGCATACCAGCATCTATATGAGCAATGATTCCGATGTTCCTTGTTTTTGAAATTGAATAATCTATAGTTCGTTTAATAATTTAAAATGAGATAAAATAATTATACTTGAATTGATTGATTAATACCTTTAACAGAAGAATAAAATCTATAATGAACCGAATTATATCTTTGAATTTTTATTAATAGATTTTTAAAATTTCCAATATAATTTTTTATCATTTTTTTTAAAAAAATAGAGATGAAAAAAATTTTATCGCAGATCATATATCAGATGAACTATAAAAAATCATGTGTGATAAGTTATATATATTAACGTCTTAATGTTATATAATCTAAAAGAAAACTAAGAAAAATATATATATAAATTTTCAATGTTTTTTCTTTTTTTTTTTTAGTCATCTTTCATTTTCACTAAATTCATCGTTAATAAATCCAACTTTTTTACACAATAAAACATTATTTTCACAAATTATAACATCAGAAGCCCAAATTTCGGAACAAGCCTTATAACCAAAATTTTCAAAATCTTTTTTTCTATCCTTACTAATAATAACTAATAAATCTTTTTTTCTATAATTAGCAATTTTTTCTAATCTATAAGAAGCCAAATCAATATTTTCTTGAATTATATTATCACAAAAACGGATTAATTTTGCAAATAAAAATTTTTTAGTAAATAAATAAACAAGAACAAAACGAATAATATTATTTTCATCCCTAAATAAATCCACTAAAAATTGATCATTTAACATTTCATATAAAGATAAATCATTAGTTAAATTTAAATTTTCTTTAGTATCTACTAAATTATTTTTAAAAGTTTGATCAATTTTTTGATTAGATTTTAATATAATTCTTTGACCATCTTCAAACCAATTATTCACATCAGAATTTTTAGCATGTTCAATATTTGAAAAAGTAAGAAATGATCCATTTATTCGAGGATCTTTTTTTAAAATTGGTAATGATGGATGATACATACATTCAACTTTTGCGAATAAAGGACCGATTTGAATAAAATCTTGACTTTTCTTGTCAATATGTTGTTGAGTATCGTAATATAAATCTTTGATACCTATTTTTGGAAGATTTAGCATACTAGCAATATTCACTACTGCTACGTATATTTAATTTTGTAATGTAAAATATATCGATGTTGAAGATATTAATCTTAATAATATAGATATCATTGTATATATAAATGAATGATAAAATAACTAACCACGTTTTGTTTCAAACTTTTTTCTTAGTCTGGCAATTCTCCGACCTTTATTTTCATCAAGACCTTCTTGATTAGTGAAATTTGGAGAATCTTGTAATGATTTGCTTATACTCGGATTATTCGAATTACTCGAATTACTCAAATTATTCAAATTACTCGAATTACTCGAATTACTCAAATTGCTCGATGTGAAGGAGATTGGTGAAGAAACAGTATTAACGCTAAATATATTTGATATTTTAGTTTCATCCTTTGAAGAATCAGGTTGTGAAATAGTGGTAGTTGTTTTAAGCTCATTAATTGCTGGAGCAGCCGATGATATTGATCCAAATGGAGAAATAGAATGTTGAGCCGTTTCACTTTTAGACGAAATCGGAAGTGATAATGATTTCTTCATTGTTTTTATTTTATCTTCGGATGGTGACTTGTTTAAAAATACGACAGAATAATCATGATTAACAAAAAAATTCGAAGCATCTGGCGCATTTGGAAGACTAAACATTTTCCTCCTTTCAAGTTTAGGCTGTACTGCTGATAATGGCATGGGTTTTTCTTTTTTTTCATTAATAGGAATGACTTTTGAAGCTAGTTTTTCAAAGTATTCAATGCTTGATTCGATAGAAGATACAGATTTTGATGAATAATTTAACCCGGAAAATTTGGCAGATGGAGGTCTCAATGGTAAAAATGTAGTCTTGTCTTTTGGCGTTTGAAGTGGTTCTAATTTTTTTATTAACTTTGAGCTATTTTTTTCCGCTATTAACCCTCCAGATTGGCCTTTCGATAAATTGCTAAGAGATGCTTTTGCTTGTGATTCTTTTAAAGAATTTGTCATTACATCTTTTTGCCGTGCACATATTTTTTGTAGTTGATCCAGAGGATCAGTTGGTAAGGGTGATAAATTTGGAAATTCCTTTCGTTCTTTTTCTTTTTCACATTTTTTGATTTGGTCTCTCTTTTTATCTAAGCCGTGCAATGCCTTAGTTGAAAAATCTATATCTTTCGGCTTCTTTGTATCTTTATTTTCTTTACTCATTGCTTATGAATTACTGTAAGCAAAAATGTATAGTCTTTCTTTTCACTTAAATATATATTCATTTATTTATGATAACAATACGATTTCTAGATTATGATTTTATTAATATGACTGACTGTATTGTCTTTTTAACTACAAGATTACTTTATTCACAAAGATACATCCTGCATATTTTATTCCCCAATGAGTTTCGCGCCTACATTCTTTGTTGACCTTAGTAATTATTGATTTTTACATTAATTATAACCTTTTGTCTTGTTAGCAATTCGTATAAAAAAGTGATTTGCTTATAAGTTTATAGATATTTGTTCCAGAATTTTCCTTTTCGCAAAGTCATGAATTAATACATGTGACCGAAATTATTTCGACTAAGCCGAATCTTAAGTTGAGACATAGGCCAAAATAATATCCCGAAAAGCTGAAACAATTTCGACCACGAGTATATTCATGAATGTCTAGCAAAATGAATATTTGATTGTTATTCTTTAGTGCTCAATTATATAATAACGATAATACTTTATTATATTATCAGATAGTGTACATCATTGTTAATAATCGTTCATAACGATAAAGCTTTAATTTATTATTTATTATAGTTATAATAAATGACCATTGTTATGCATAATTTTTATTCATCAATTTTCAAAGTCCACATCTTTTTTAATCATACCTCAAGCTTTAATGATAAATTTTTTCTTTTATTTCATAATTTATCAAGATACGTATTGTGAAATTGTGATTATTTTTGTCATTATATGTTCTAATAATTAGTTACTCTTGTATTCTATAAGAAATTTTAATGATTGTATACTCTTTACGTACAACGTGTAGAACAGTCATTTATTATTAAATTTATTTATCGTTACCATAATTTTATTAACCGTTGCCATGATGCAATTTTATTTAGTAAAATTAAAAACTTTATGTACAGTACGTACTTACAATACAGTAGATTGATGGACGAATCATTCACTATCTTAACAGCTTTTTAGCATCCCAGTACGTATGTATGTATGTATGTACATATCTGATATGTACATACTGTATATCTGATAATTAATATGTAGTGTATAGCCATTACACAGCTTTTAGGCTGTGTAGTAGACGCCATAAGTTTATTATCTCAAATTTTTTTTTTATATTTCTTTTTTTTTACTTTTAGTTAGAATTGTTTATTTTTGTCACGTAGTTTTAAGGTATAACGATAAATATTTTTAAAAATGATAAAAACATTCTACGTACTGAGTTTACTAATTTCCCCACAACTTCTGATTGGTTCTACTAATTATTAGAAGTGGTGGTGATGGAAGATTAGTAAACCCCCTACTACTTAAGAATCGGCACTGTTAATATATATTTGAACAAATTTTTTACGTATTGAGTCTAACCTTTTGACATTGATTTTTTAAATTTCATATTACATATTGCTTATCATGTAGCTTATTTATATGTTTTTTATTTAGTTGCTTAAGCCCATCAGACGATCATAATATGTATAAGGTCTGTAAAATTTCTGAAGTTAGAATTAAAGCCACAGAAACAGAAAAAAAGGAGTTTGACAAGCCACTTGTCACGGGAAATTGGCATTTTTTGAATAACGTATAATTGATTATTATAAGAACTAAAAGGAATATATGTGATCACACAAATTGTGATCCTTGAGTTCATATGACGTATATGACGTAGTCGCAGCCTATTATCGCTGCAATTCTTGTCTGATCTACGGTTTTCATCATGATGAAATGAAGGATTATTCTTACTAATTAGAAAGATCTTTCTTTAGTATCAGCCTTACAAGAGAGATAAAGTCATATAGATCTGGCAGGATGAATCAGGCATATCAACTACCAACATCGGTCACATAGAAGTGGTAGAACGTATCAGTTAGACTAGTTAAAATATTTTTTATTTGGTTTAAAGTGTATAATCAGAACATTTTCTGCTCTTCTATAAATATATTGACCCTATGGCTTTTGTTTGGTTTATTATCTCGACTGATTATGGATAATTGTATTGTTTTGTTTGTTTAAGGTAGATTTTTATTATCTCAGCGAGAGAAATCTGTCACATGATATTTGTGCCTTACTTTCGCCAAATATAAACGCCTCTTTCGATAGAATTCCATAAGTTTTGGCGACAGAATCACCTTTTTTCAGGTCACAATATTTAAGATTGAGACATGTTTGTACAACACTGCGGCATTAAATCTTTTCTTTACATAAAAAATGAAAATTTCAATTTTTGGAATAGTTTTAACACTTTTCGTAGTATTCGTGTTCGTTATTGATGCATCAAAGTTAAGAAAAAGGGAAATTAAGGGTTCTCCGTGTTTAATTAAAGTAGTCTCACCTGGTAACGGAAATATTTATCATCATGGGCACACTCACAAGGCAATTTGGAAACCTTATCTTTGTAAGGGTGCTTTGAGCGGTAATTTTTCTTTATTTTTATTTATTATTATTATTTTTTTAATAATAATTTTTTAGATTAAAAAATGATTAATTATCTGTGGATATGAACAGTCGAAACGACGGTTAGAGTGATTATTATTGCCAGCTCAAATAGTACTGGCACACATATAAAAGTATTCGACGAATCAACCGTAAGCTCTTAATTACATTAATCTTTCTAAATTAAATGTACTTTTACATTATGTATTTTCATTAAATATATATATATATATATTTCAGACATTTGGAGCTACAGGAATACAGTTTACTGTTGGTGAAAATTGGCCATCCGATGATTATGAATATGTATTATACGCTTTCAACGTCGATGTTGTAGAAACTTTTGGAGAATCAGGTGTCTTTGTTATTGATGATAATAAGGAAATGAAAACTCATAATGATTCCATGCGATATTAAATTATGGTATTACTACATATATATTTTGAGATGATTTCTGCTTAATTTTGGGTTATAACAAAAATTCAAATATATGTACGATTTTTGGTTGAATCAAATATTAAGTTAATGATATAAATTATTAAAATCTTTATTTTTTTTTATTTCAAATCAAGAAAATCAATAAACTAAAAGTTTGTTTAGTGACTAAACATGAAAAAGTGATACTGTATGTTAGGTAAAAAGTATAATTATAAAAGTGAAACCTTTTCACGTCCTTCAGATCATAATAATAGGATTTTCGTCAAAGTTCGCCTAATAGTATTTAAAAAAGGTAAAAGCTATGACAATATTTGAGTGTCGCTAAAGAAAATCCGAAATTTAAATATGATTTATATTTAAATTTTCGGGTTTTCTTTTAGCGACACATTTGATAAAAATATAAATTATCCACGTGATAGGTTAATATTTTTGAAGCTTTATCAAGAAATAGACTGAAAAAACTTTATGTAACACGCTCAATATTGAGCATCGCTTTTTTTTTTATTATTATCGTTCAAAATCCCTAAGACCTTGTCAACAACATTCGATGTGATGTATCAAAGTCCATCCATACTTGCACGACCTTTGATGTCGATTTAGATCGTGATCACGTGCTATTAATTATATTAATTAAAAAAATCTGCTATGTATTCGAGATTAAATTTTCTTTCAAAAGACATAGATGTACCTGAATTCAAAATAAAAAAAAAAAAAAACATAAATAAGTGTATTTTGATTCATAATATAAAGACTCTTCATCAAATATGTTATTTGTGTTAAATATACTGTATTAGATCAACCTGCTCGAGGCCGACCACCCGAATTAGTTTTTTATTAATCGAAGAAACTGAACAATCGTTAGCCATTGAATTACAACATTGTCGATTTTATTTGACATTTTGAAATAAAGAATTGTTAAAATTATTTTGGTTTGAAACTACTAATAATTACGTAATTTGATAACGATAGTTTAATTTAATCAATATTTTTAACATACCAGTCAAAACCTCACTTCCTATATAAGCACATATTCTTTATAAGCATATCTTTTTAAAAATTATTTATTAAAAATAGTGCTCGGCACAATCAAACAAAAATTTGACAGTCAAATATGGTAATACTTATGTTTAAATCGGATGTCAAACGATTGCAAATTAACCAAAGCTAAATATATACTATTGGTTAATCTGCAATCATTTGATGTCCGACTTAATCACAAGTATTAACAAGTATTTGACTGTCAAATTTTTGTTTGATTGTGCCGAGCACTAATTAAAAATAATAAATCTGATCTCTATAATTGGCACACTTCTTATAATCACACTTTTTTGTATCGCAAGGGTGTGATTATGGTTTGACTTTAATTATATACTAGTGTCACGGGCTAAAAGTGGATCTACTAATCTGGCGCAGTAAACCCATGACTAAAGTAGATTTACCAAAAGAATTCCAGATCGACTACTACATGAGGCTTACCTGCCGAATAATAGGAATGATAACCAACGTGAAATCCGAAGAAGAATTCCTAGAAGAATAACTGAAAATCAAGCAAGAAGATCTTGAAGATAAGCAAAGTAAAGACTTCGATAGAAGAAATTATTATAATAATTATTATAAGCCCCTTGTGATTAAAATAACTTTTAGCTGATTCTTTAATGATGTATTATATGAATTATCCCTAAGCCCCTTGAGCTCGTTAGAATAGACTAAGCTATAAAAGCACTGAGAGTTCGCATTAGTCAAAGGATATCCTTCGGGACAGAGTGTCTAGCCATTTCTAGCATCTAAAATAGCACTAGCGATATTACGACAACCACATAATCAAATTCAATCGAAAATTGGTTACTTTAATTCTATATGTTTATAGAATAAAAATAAGACAAATTTTATCGAATTTAGTTTGGTTGTTTTCGTGATATAGCTAGTGCTATTTTAGATGTTAGAAATAGCTGGACACTCTACTTCGGGATTTCAATAATTCATTCCGAACACCTTTAATAACTTACCCTGATAATTCCTTTTAATAAATTACATTATTGTCAAATCACCAACGTCACGCCTCTGGCGAGTTGCCTTATCATATAAATTATATCTTTTTGTATATAAATTAATAAAACCCTACGATTCACCCCGTAACACTAGTTATGTCTTCTGTATTTTATCAGTTTTAACTAAATATACCGATATATTTAATATCAAATAATGCACAAGTATTACTGTAAGACGTAATTTTAGCTATTCTCATAAGATATTATATAGATAAAAATTAATAAGAATGGTAATAATGTGGTGATTCAGAATTAAATTATTTCGAAAATAAGTGGGAGTTTAAAATCCCATTTCCATTTTGAAATTCTGAAATAAGAATATGAAATATGTGTATTCTCTGATGATATAAATCACTTATTTGAAAACAAATACCTAAATAATTAGGTCGGAACTCAATCTTTAATTAGAGGAAAATCGTTTAGCTGGTCAAATGAATTCTTCAACGTTATCTCGGCATCACTAGTAAAAACCCTTATAAAAAAAAAACGAATATCTTATCAGTTCTTAGTAAATTGACATTGTCACGGGCAAAAAAGTGAGATCTTCAAAATTAGGCATAGTAAAATTTATGGTGATAGTGGCTTCGAGAAAACATCACAGTGTTTATCTATGATAGAAAGGGCTTAGTATAATATTAATAGAATATTCGCTCAATGTAACGCGAGAATTGAAACACTCGCAGAGAAAATTCTGCAAAACAGTGTGATAAGCACGGAGTGTTAAGTCCATTTTTAGCGAGCCTTCTGATTTGCTTCACTTAGAAAAAAAAATAGACTCTGTCTATTAACTGTACGAAATTACTGTATAATGCAGAGTAAGGTACAAGTTTTAGAAGTAAAAAATCTGAGTTTAATATTTAAATTTTGTTGTTTTTTATTACATGTTTCAACCGTAAATTAAGGTTTAGTACATATCTAATATCTTGTAGAATATTTTGTAAACTCTGGATTTGAGTTTATTAGTAATAAATACCACCTTTGCGCGTATATATTCATTCTCTAAAATATATGTAATAAATTCTTTCGTGTATTTATTAATTTGTAAGCTTCTCTACGAAGTTTTTTTCGTTTATAGTATTATTCAAACGATAAATTTTTTAAAAAAATAGCGTAATTTGATTGGTTGATTATCACGGGTAGATCTACGGTTCAAAAAAAAAAAAAGTTCAGCGTTGTCTAGTGGATACGAACGTATGGAAAGACGCCCACTTAACCCATACATTTAGACCACTACACTAGTTGTGGGCGCACCAGTTGAAAAAATTTTATCACCCCTTAAAACCAACAATTAATATTATCAGGTTATCCAATTAAAATTTCACATTACGTATTGTTTGATCTGGCGTAGATCAAATTGCCCGGGTAACTTATTTATATGATTTAAAGTACTTTTTGGGAACGTGACGTTTTATTAACAAAAAATTCACCACAAACATTAATAGCTTTAGACCTTCGTTCATAGCGCAAAAGAAAGACTTTACTTCTAAGGCAAATATGCCTACTATTTATTGGACTATACCAAATTATACTATAGGATGAGGTGTTAAATAAACTTATTACTAACTATATATTCATTTCGAATAGGAATAGAAAGAGATTCGGGTTTAATGCTTAATAGGGTTCGAGGCACGGGTAAAAAATCAGGCATGCCTTTGAGGGCATGCCCTGAGTTGCGGCATGCCCCTCGTGCCTATAGGCATGCCCTT